TAGATTTTATTAATAACCTGCTCGCACAGAGCTCCTCCAACATGCCCAGTATCGTACCAGTATCGAGGGTGAAAATAATTCCCTGCTCTCCAGAAGCTTACCATTTAGGTGGGAAAATAAGATGTACATACTTGAGCCAGTTGAAAAACAAGGTGACCTGAGATGAGTAAAGTGTGCTAGTAAGTGCCACAACAGTTACGAAAGGGCTTGAAGTCGAGAAGGAGAAGGAGTGCTGACTGGTTGTAAACTGACTTCTAACCACAGGGACCACAAATGTCAAAGACTAGTCAGGTTCACAGACGTCAAAGATGCGGGTCATCAGCTCACCAAAAGCAGACTACGCGAAAACCTCACCGTTTGCAGAGGCACAAAGTTATCTGGAAGTTCCTGGGGGCCGGGGCGGGGGTGGGGAGGAGCGCAGAAGTGAGAGTGCTACAGTCAAGCACGCCAAACAGCACTGGCAGCAGGGCTGCGGGGGAGAGGGTGACTTCAACGGCTGGAAGCAGGGGCCTCGTGTTCAGAGAATAATTTTCCCTCTTGATCAGGCTCTGAACAAGCCCTGGACTTCGCCTCTTGGTTCACAGCACCCTTGCTAGTCAATGAGAGAGAATGTTTCCCTCCTTCTCCAAGGTAAAACAATTTTTCACGACGGTGCTGAGTGACTTGGCCCCGTGTGGGAAGGAAAGGCTCCCACTCTGTGCCCCTGAGAACTTCAGAGCAACCCCCTGCTTTGCAATCCACTTGGGGCCTCCTAGAGTGTCTTCCTGTGTCCATTTTGGTTTTGCTTTTGTAACTTAAAAAAAATACTGCTTTTCTGAAAAAGTTTTATAAAATTATCACCTACTCATGGCAGATATATAAGGTGCAGAGAAGGGTGTATGATGAAAAAGCGGGCTCCCTCCCCCACTCACATCCTTTCCCTCCAAGGCTCTGACTATTCCCAGTGTCTTCTGCACACCTAGAGAGACTTCAGTACACACAGCAGTCTGTCTCTCTCCCTGCCCCCTGCAAATTGGAGTAAAGCTTGTTCTGTGCTTTTCTTTTTTCTCCACTGACAATAAATCTTGTGAATCTCCCCAAATCAGCCCAGATAACACTGCCTCACTCTTTTTCACAGCTGTGTGGTATTCCATTGTTGGGTAGGCCACGATTTGCCTGCCAGTCCACAGGGCCCTGGCTTTTATGGCACTGAGTCTGTTAAGAGTAAAAGGCATTTCCTCAGCCATTTATTGCCGACATGTATGTTTTTGGAGCCTGCTGTGTGCTGGCACAGTGACAGGTGTTGAGACAGGGAGAGAGGCAGAGCCCCGTCCCCTGGGAAGTCAGAGCCTCGTGCGGGAGGTGGGCATTTGGGAGATGCCAAGGGGCCACAACAGAACTGGGTGTACGCGGGGCTGTGGGGGCCCTTCCTGGTGCTCTATGCTTCTCCTGGCTTCCCCTTCTCTGCTGAGGCAGAAAATGCACACGGCTGTCCTTCAGGACGTGGCCCAGCTAAGGGTATTTATAGTTCAGGGAAGAAATCCTGTAGGAAGGAAGTAAAAATTTAAAAACGCTGGTTCACAGATATTACAGATAGAGCCTGGGGTATTCACAATACCTATACAATCCGGGGGGACAGGTTTGTTTAGCAAAGGCAGTAGGATCAGAAAGAACGGGAAAGAAGGTGACCAAAGACATAGCTGATCTACATCTAGATGTTTTCTGTGCTCTCAGAGCTGAGCCTGACCCAACCTCTCCCTCCTCTCCCTACCCCGAGCATGTCCCCCTCCTGGCACCCTGAAAGGGCTCTCCCTCCCACTTCTGTGCCTTGTGCCATGTGGCTCAGAGATGGCCTGCCACATGGAGGCTCCCACAAGGACCTACCTGGGGACAAGCCCAGGGCTCCCAGTGGCAGCGAACCCTGCCCTGGAGGTGCCATGCTCTGTGCGTGGATGAGCATGAATGAAGTCACCAAGAGTTTGTCACCTCCCACACAAGGCAGGGGAGTGCCTGGAAGGAATGGAGCAGGAAGACACTATGGACTGGGAATGCTGAGGAAAAGCCCACAGGGCGGGGTGACCTCGCCTTGCACTAGTGTGTAAACAGAGCAGAGGACAGAGGGGATCAGGGCTCTGGAGGGAGGGGCTCGGACACAGGCGGCTAGTCCTGGCCTGGCTCCGCAGGCGAACGGTGCTGGGCCTTGGGACACCCAGGAAGTGGGTCTTCTTGGTGGTGGTGTTTGTGTGTGGGGAGGGGGAGAGGGTGGCAGTGAGGGGTGGGGATATAAGCATTAAATTGCTCTTCATCTCTCAAAGCCAAAGACTATTTGCAGCCTCGTAGCAAGCTGAGGCCCTGCTACTTCTGGGCAAGAATTAGTGCAGCAAAGAGACATACTTGCTGAGCTATGATCTCCTGGTGTGTCTCTTTGCCCAGTTACCCAGGTTCACGGCATCTTCGACAGCTAGCTCTACCACCTCCCTAACCCACCAGCCAGTCAGTGAGCTTCAAGGCCGTATTCTGGTTCCTGACTTCCATCTCTCCCCTTTTGTGCTGGTGCTTCCACCCCACAACTGTACTCTCGTCTAAGGCACCCTCCTGCCTCCACGTACAGCACTGCCCCTCTCCTGGCTCCTGCCAGCAGCAGACTTCCTTGGCGCCTGGCACAGAGTAGGTGCTCAGGTCAGGAAGGAGCTATGGCGGAGGTGGACGGCTGGGAAGAACTGCCTTTGTGGGCAGTAGGTGATGACATTTGTCCACTCACCCTGATTTGGTGGTGAGGATGGGCAGTCGAGTGGAGCTCAACAGGCAGTGAGAACAGGCACTAGACTGAGGACCTTTGCCAGAAAAGGGGTCAGGGAGCTGGAGAATGACAGGGTGGTTGGGCGATGCACAGAGGAAGTGAGACAAAGGAGGGCTGGTTTGAGGGAGGAGAGAGGCCGGACTGCTGAGGTGAAGGTGGGGCAGCTGAGGCTAAGTGGTGTCGGTGGGTGGCACCCTCAGGGACAAGAGGGAGAGAAAGCAGAGGAGTAAAGAGAGGATGGACCGTCTGGGACAATTTTGTGTGAACTGTGCGACGGAGGCAGTGAGGAACCAGGCAAAGGTCTAGTGTCTGCAATCCTGATGTTGTTTTCTGACCACGCCTCTCAGCCTGGGAGCAAGAGGGCAGAAGACTGGCCTGGCGTGCTCCCAGGCCAAGGAGAGAGGCTAGGTGGGAAGTCTCACCAGGGAGAAGAGGCCTCTTGGTGTTATTGCCGCCGTCAGCCCCATCACTCCAGCCCTGTGGGTGCTGCCCCCATTTTTACAAAGCCTATTTTACAGAAAAGGGACCTCACAGGCTGAGACTAAGGACCTCACATCACTCAGGAACAATGCCACACAGACAGTACTGGCTCAGAGCTGGGATTTGATCGGATTCGTGGGACTTCCCTCCTCCAAGCACCTGCACTGAAGAAAGTGGTCCCAAGAGGGGCCCTGGGTGGCTGGGCAGGAATAAGTGCTAGGATCTAGAAAGAAGACCAGGAATGGGGGAGTCAACAGTTCGTGAGACTGGAATGCTGTTAAAAAGTCATGTTGAGCCAGTGTGGAGAACAGACTGGGTGGAGACAAGAGCCTTAACCAAAGACTAAAGTTGCCCAGTTGCCTCCCACAGCCTTTGGCCCCCCTCCCAGTGCCCCTTCCTCCCTTTGGTGCCCCCGCAGGGAACCACACCTTACTTTTGAGTAGCCTGTTTTTAGACGGCACTTACACACTCGTTACAAGGCCACGTGGAAGCTGGGATGCGGCAGCCTGTGTTCATCTGAAAGGAGGAGTCTCCCGCTGTGGGCCCTGCTACCCCAGGACTTAGCCAGAAGTTCCCAAGCTTGCCCAGGAGCCTCCAGCCTGGCTTCGTTCACCAGCTGGCTTGCCAGAGTAGCCTGCGTGCTCTCCCCTTGCAATCACCGCCCTGATGTCTAGGTGGCACCAAAACCTCACACTGATCCCTCCCAGGTTGGGGAGCCGGCCTACACCGGGGGACAGAGTACTTCCAACCTTGCCTTTGCAGACGGCTGCTCAGCTCAGCTGGGGTGCGAGTTCAGCTCTCTGGGCTGTGATCCTCCAAGTGCAAGGGGACTGACTGCAAATTCGTCATTGCTGTTTCCTCTCTGCCTTCTGCTTTGCTAGGTCCCTGCCTCCTCTGGGGACAGGAGGGTGCTCATCGCAGCTCCAGAGCCATCCCAAAGTGAGCACTGCTCCCGTTCTTTTCAAATGTAAAAAAGAAAATTACTGAAAAGATAGTGTAATGTGAATTTCCTTTTTAAACTTAAGTTTTTAAAAAATTTATCAAAGTAATTCATTCACATGGTTCAAAGCAATAGGCTCCTGTTGGACCTCTTTGGATATTTAAAATACTGTGGTAACTCATCCACTCGCACGACGCCATAAACATGAACGTTTTTGCAGCTCACCATCCATACAGGGCGGGGCAAAAGTAAGCTTACAATTGTAAGTACAGGAAACACAGTTTATTCTTGTATTATTTAGTAATCACTGAATTTTTTCCCACCGAACAATTGTAAATCTACTTTTGCCCCACCTTGTATATCTGTTCTTGACTGCTTTGAACTGTGGCTGGTTCACAAAGTGGGAAATCATTCATTCATTCATTCATTCATTCATTCATTCATTCATTCGGCAAGTATTTACTGGCAGCCCCTGGGCTGTGCACCCCGGAGCACCGTTGAAGGCACTAAGGATGGCGGGGAGTTAAACAAGGCCCCTCTGGCTGGGCTCAGGCCGCAGCTGTGGAGCCGGACTCGCTCAGGGAGTGCCAGGTGCTGTTAAGTCCTTGGAAGAAAAATAGGGCAGGTTTCTTTCGGAAGGGGGTAGTGGGGTGTCAGCGGTCAAGACCAATCGCTCTGAGGAAGTGAGGCGGCGCAGAAATTGGTAGTGGAGGAACAATACCTGTCAGCCGTGGAGCAGCACCCCGCCCCTGCAAGGTTCAAGAGCTGGAAAGTTGGGGTTCTTGGCTCTGCTTGGCCTGCTGCCAGCCCCTCACCGCCCCAGGGGCTCTCTCTTCTTAGAGCACCATCTCTCCTAGGGAGTGTGTGTGCGTGTGTGTGTGTGTGTGTGTGCATGTGTGTGTGTGTGTGTGTGTGTAGGGAGGGGTCCTTCACCTCCCCAGCCTGGCCTCCGCTTCCCTTTTCCACTTACCTCCGCCCTGAAGCCCCCTCCCCCAGTGAGCGCTCCCAGGAGGTTCCCCCACCCCAGGAGGAACGCCGAGACGCGGCCGTGGGGAAACGTGAAGTTTGTGCGGCTCAAAATGACGCAAAAATTCTTGAAGAGCTCTTTGGCGGCGGATATCTAGAGATCAGACCATGTGAGGGGCCGAGAGTACAAATACGGCCGCTTGGGCGCAGCTCCCGCACAGGCAGCAGTCGCCCCCGGTGCCTCGAGGGCGCGAGGGTCGCCCCGCCTCGTCGAGCCCCGGGACCAGCCTCCACGGACTCCCGGCAGGTGGGTCCTCTTTCTTCCTCGCTTCTAACACACACTTCTTTCCAGAACTTGCCCCCTGTCTGCCGCGGCGGGCACCGGCGAGGGCGTCTGTGCGCCTGAGCGGTGGGCGCCCGGATCCGCGGCTGCCCTCCCGGGAAGAACGCGAGTGGACGCGAGTCCGGCCGCCCGGAGGGAAAACTGGCCGCGGAGTGGACGAGCGGGCTCCGAAGGGCTCCTTTGTCTGCTGCGCCCACGGGCTTTGTGGTGCGCTGAGCGCGAGAGGAAGACCCTGTAAAGACGGTCTTAGGGAAAGCGCTGTCCTGCGCTTAGGGAAAAGTTGCTTTAGTCTCACCCCGTAGCTTACGTTTGATCTTGTCTTACTGCCGTCGCGCGCCGGTGGCTTTGTGCAAAGGCATTTCTGCAGGGAGAGTTCGGGTTCACAAAAAAGCCTAACTAGAGAAATCTCTGAATGGCTCTTAAGTGGGACGAGACTCCGCGCGCTTGGGTTGTTTTCACTGGCAGAGCTGCTGCGCGCTCAGACCTCTTACCGGCCATTCAGAATTTCCGCGGAACTCGGGCTCCAGACAGCTCTTTCTCGAGGCCGGAGTGTGCGACCGTCAGCTGCGTGAAAAATGTGTACGTTCAAATTTGTTTTGGAAAACGCTCTTTGGAGCTGAAGAACACTAAGGGTCACATTACCTTTTGCACTGGGTCTTTTGCGGAATAAATTTCTTTTTCAGTTGGGGTTTTAAAGAATTTGAGAAGGGTAGGATTTCTAAGTCAGACATAACAAAGGCTTGTGTGTGTGTATTTTTATGGTCAGTTTGGTCCAGAATAAAATGAACTAGGTCAATGGGTTATTTATGAGCCTGCTAGCTTTCATCAGAGTAAGATGAGAGCAAATCCTCAACGTGTTTTGCCTTCAGTTACAGGGGCAAGTGCCTAAGAAAGCAACGCTGGGACATGTGTTTCATGAAGCGGAGGGGCACCATGGGCGGTGTCCGTGTTTGGGTTTCTAGGAGTAGAGGGAAACACACAGCTTTATTTTCCCTCCCACCACTTTCTTTTGTGCCCAGCCACTGCTGCCCAAAGGTTCAAGCCTGGGGTAGAGTCAGGTTCTTCCCGGCGTGTGCAAATTGAAGAAGCCTTTTGGGGCATGGATTTTTCTGTTTTTCACTGAACCTGAATGAGATCAGATTGAGACTGCTTCACAATTAATCAAAAGTCCCCTCCGCACCCTGGTGATTGATCTAGGACATTTCAGAGATGTAATAGCAGCACAGATATTCAAACTCATTTTTTTTTCAATCTCCTTGCTTAAGAAATACATATATAAGGGTTGGGTGGTGGGGTGGGAGTAGCGGTGGAATACGTTGAAATTTAAAGGAAATGAACAAAAACCTCAGAAGTTCCTCTCTGAGGGATTTTGAGTTGTCCCAGCATTTTGATGAAAGTTGGAGAGGCGTGTCAGAGTCTCACCCGTGGGTGAGATGGCAGTGGAATGGGTGCCTGGCCGGAGCGGGTTGTCTCTTCCATCAGGCTTACAAAAACACCGTGGGTGACCCTCGCCCCCCCCCCCCCCCAGAGAGAAACACAGGCAATTCCAGAAGTTAAGCCAGTAAGTGTCAGTTCCTTCTTTATAGTTGTGGAATGGCACAACTTGAGAGAACAGAGGCAGGGCTGTCTGAAGAAGTTTAATTTGAATTAAGCTTAATGAATCAACAGGATATAGTCACGACTTGGCTTTTTAAATAAAGGTGCCTAGATAACCAAAGGGGAAATGCAGTAATTTTTCTGTCACTTTACGAAATCACCTCATAGCTTTGTAATTCTGGGTCACAGAGCAGCTCCTCTGGGTCTCTTGGGCCTTGGTTCTAACTAAGCGAGGGGGAGCAAGGGTCCTGCATAACAGGGCGACCAAGTCCTCGGACTCATTCTGTGACCGGGACCCTAACCTTTCTGCTGTAAACAAATACAAGTTGAAATGATGGGGCAAAACGCCTGAGGGCCAGGACTCTCTACCCAGACATTGCCATCAAATCAGGGTCCTCTGGGGGCCTCTTGGGTTTCACTCTAAGGCAGAGGCTTTGCACACTCTGACACATGTAAGTCAAATTCTGCACCTCTATCACGTCCAGCCAACAGGCCCAACTACCCCGACTCCCTCAGTCCCCTTTGCCAGATGCCCGGGTGTGGCACAGTGGAAATGGCCTCCAGCCGGGGCAGATGTGGGCTGTGTGATTTTCTTTCCAGGCCACTGGGCTGTTGCCAGGCGGCCACACTGCCCTGAGGCTTGCCCACAGACCAGGCTGGGCTGTGCAGTCAAAGGCCGTTTCTTGTGCCTGGGGCACGTGATGCTGACGGAGATGCTCCCGAGGGTCCAGGCGCTGCCACCCCAACCCTGGACCAAGGGAACTTGTCAGTTTCTGGGCTTAACTGGACAAAACAGCACCCTAAGGAGGGCATACTGTCATCTTTCTGGGAGGACCCCAGGTGGAAAACAGATGGAAATAGACTTTAAAAGAAACTTGACAGGAAGGATTTTCTCTGGGCAGAAGGGTGAGCAACTTTTCTTTCCTTATTTTTTAAAGGACTTTACTTACTTATTTTTAAAGAGAGGGAAAAGGAGGGAAAAATAGAGATAGAGAATCATCAATGTGCGGTTGCCTCCCACACGCCCTCTACTGGGGACCTGGTCTGCAACCCAGGCATGTGCCCTGACTGAGAATTGAACCAGCGACCCTTTGGTTCACAGTCAGGCACTCAATCCACTGAGTCACACCAGCCACCAAGACCCACTTTCGGCTGACACAGACCCCTTATTTCCAGGCAGAGCTCATCGCTCTGACGGGTCCTCCCTCAGAAATGGTTTCTGAGTTGCGCTGCTATGAAGGGGGCATTGCCTCCAGCCTGACCTTTGTTCCTTCTCCCTGACTGGGAAGATGAATGCTCGTTTACTGAATGTCAACAGCATGTTGTTAAACCCAAGTGTTTTCCCAGCCCCGTGTCTACCGAGGTGACAAAATGAGTTGAGATAAGGCAGGTCTGACTGCCTCATTTTCTTCTTTGGCTCCCCTGGCTGGAGGCTGGAAGCTGGCAGCAGCCCCCTCACCGTCACCCCAACTCTGGACCAAGGACGGGTACTTGTTAGTAGCTCTTTAAACCATAGGCTTTTAAAAAGCCACAACCGGAGAGCCCCTTATTAACCCCAGAAACCTCTGGGCTGCAGAGTGAGAGATGAACCCCAGCAACAGGGAGACATGGAGGTGATGTCCCAGGGCCAGCTCAGTGGCAGATGGCATGGGGAAGGTCTTCCCGGACCCTGAGGCACAGTTCTTCTTCGGTTCTCCCCCCAACCCTCGTCAACCTTTGACATAGGGAGGGAAGAGGTGAGAAGAGGTTGGGGACCAGGTCAGTGGCAGAGCCAAGAGAGCCCACTGCGCTCTCTGGGAGAAGCCAGAGCTGGAGGCTGGTGGTGGGCTCGGCAGGAGGGAGCAAGTTAGTGGGGCTTTCCCCTCTTGTGTTTTTATGTGGTCTTTCTGGGCATATTCAAGAAAAAAAGAACATTCTATTTCCTTTGTTACTGAGCTGCTGATTGAAAACAGAATAAAGGGAGTCTTTTGCTCTAAGAAGCTCCCTCAGGGGAGGGAGGGGCAGAGATGCAAGGGCCAGGGAGGGGTCTGCTCGGAGTTCTCCGAGTCTGAGTCCTCCGAGCCCACAGCCCACAGCCCGGGAGGACTCAGCCAAGCCTGGAACCTGAGTCTTCCGCACGCCATTCTTTTTTTTCTTCCCTGGGTGTGTTGTTTTTAAATGCTAATCTAGTTAGTTGGCTCTTTCCCTTGTCTCAGAGGAAAAGAGCTGGGGCAGGGAGGAAAGGGGAGGGAAGGGCCTGGGGGCAGAGAGGAGATAGGCTACTCTGGGCTATTCTGGGCACTCCACGGGCAGCCAGTCGGAGGTTTGACCCCTGGAGGTTTCCCAGCTCCTCTGAGGGCTAGGATTATTTTTCTCCCCCCCAGTTTTTAATTTTGAAAAATTTCAACTGAAAAGGCAGAGAAATGGTCCAGTGACCCTTTACCCAGATTCACCAGTTGTTATCATTTTGTCACATCTGTGCACACAGTCTCTCTCTAATTCTATACATATCTAAGTTTTGCATGTGTGATATATACATGATTCGATACACTGTGTATATTACATGACATAATGTAATAATTATACAATTTACATATGTATATAATTTGGGGGTTGACCTTGGACAATTTGCAGACATCCAAGTACTTCTCCCTAAATACGTCAGCCTGTGTCTGCTAAGAACAAGGGTGTTTTCCTAATAACCAAGCTGCATTATTATCACATTTGGGAAAGTTAACTTTGATAAAGTATATTATTGGCTACACAGGCCACATTCAAATTTCCCCCACTATTTCAGTGATATTCTTTTTAGCTTCGAGGATTACTCTTTGAGACTAGAAACTCCTAGGGATTGGGAACCATCTCTTGCCCTTATTTCGGTGTATCTGACACCTGGATTGGTACTGGGTCATGATGAACTGCTTTTTCATGAATGTCCCCAAACTGCGTGGGTGACTCCTTGTAAAGCACATTTCAGAACTTCTTGACCTAAGAGTATAGGCACCCGCAGTTCAAGCAACAACACCTAAATCACAGACATCTTATGGCTGCAGCGGTGACCTCAGGTGGCCTCCATCGCCCGTCTGCTCTGCTGCCTGCCCCCGTCTCTCCCCCAACTTTGCCCTCCTGCCCAGAGAAGTGGACCCCATCCCCTTCTCCTCTCCTGCTCACCCCTCGGGTTTTATTTAATTGTTCCTCAAATCCCTTTCAAATCCTTCTTCTCTCTCTCGCCTTGCTCAGCTGCCACAAGTAATTCCACCCTTATTTCATAACACACTTTCCCCGGGGCTGGTTTTCTTCTCTCTCCTGCCTCCTCCCTCCTCTCCCCCTCTTGGCTGCCTTTGTGAGTCTAATCCTGTTTGTTTCACACGAAAGTCTCTTAGTAATAT